CAAATGGTGAAATAAAAACAATAAAAAAGTAAATGATATTTAAGAAAACTTAAAGTAGAAACAAGAATTACCACTTAGTCTGTCTACATCGACTTTATTACTGGTTAGTAGGTAAAAGGCTGAAGGGTTTTGTCTCACCAGGTGTTCAGCAGCAGAGGAGGACCACAGGAGTCTGTGCTCTCACCATTTCTTTTCACTCTGTACACCTTTGACTTCCAGTACAAAAAAAGACTCCTCCCAGCCAGCATGCCTAGGTGGGCCCCATGTGGGGACAAGGAGGGCAGACTATATGGGTCCCATATGGGTTTGTCCGCGGGTTCCACGATGGCCCCACATGGGTTTGCCCATGTAGGGCCAGAGCCCACATGGGCCCTGCATGGGCCCTATATGGTGGTGGCCCACATGGGTTTTGTCCAATTAGGGCCCATGTAGCACCCATTTGGGCGGTGGCCCTACATGGGCAAACCCATGTGGGGCCATCGTGGAACCCGCGGACAAACCCATATGGGACCCATATAGTCTGCCCTCCTTGTCCCCACATGGGTCCCACCTAGGTATGCTGGCTGGGCTGTCATCTCCTGAAATAGTCTGATGACTCTGTGGTCGTTGCACGTATCAGAGATGGTCAAGAAGCTGAGTGCGAACATCTGGTGGACCGCTTTGTCTCATGGTGTGGGAACAATCAACTCATCTTGAATGTGAACAAAACAAATGAGATGACTGTTTTCAAGGTTTGTCTGTTGCAGAGTGTGTTGGGGTAGCAGCATCACAGCCAGGGACTTGAAAAGGCGTAACAACCTGATAAAGAAAGCTGGTTCTCTTCTAAAGATGACTGGAACCTCTGGAGATGATGGTTCAAAGGGATCTTCATAAAATCAAGAAATCTACAGACAACCATGAACATACAAGAACAGAGTGTCTTCAGTCAGAGTAATACATAATATTAAAACGCTGCAGGAAGTCCTTCCTAAACACAGCGTCTACAGCTCTTTGAAAAAAACTGGCATAATATGACTTACAACAACGTTGAGCTTCACCAGGGGCGATTCTAGCATGTTTGGTGCCCCGGGCAAATCACCCAGGCTGAATGCCCCTCACCCCATCACACCCCTACCGTGACACATATTTTAAATTTGACACTCAATTTTAGAATAATACTATAAATATCCATAGCAACACATGGACATAGTGCATACCATGAAGTTGAAAATATGCAATACAAATACAAAAGATGAATGCAATTCAATATAAATACATTGAATATAAGGTATTTCTAAATAGAATCAATAGTCAGATATTTATGAAATTATGTGTATAACCAATGTGGTTCTGGGAGCTATTGCTGCCCTATATGAGATGCCACCCTGGGCAGGTGCCCACATCACCCATATCAGACACCACTACTAAGTTTCCCCTCGAGGATTAATAAAGTATTTTTGAACTGATTTGACTATTAGTGCAGCTAGAAAAGGAAGCAACGTTGCGTTTCCTCACATTGGTCATTGTAAGTGTTGGGTGTAAAAGCGTAGGAAGCCCCTCTGAAGCTCTGGGCACTGTGGACTCACAGAAGCATCTCTGCCGCTATAATTTGAGGGCCCGTCGCTGACAAGACGTCCGTGTGTCTTGAGTCACCGGTACATCTGCAGTCAGCTGCATAGCTCCTTGTCACAGCTCTCGGGCTGAGCAAACAACCCTGACCTCCACATAGCACCCAAAACAACAAAGCCGAGTGACAGTGACTACATATAACTTTGTGCACAGAGAGCTGGAGCTCATTTCATCAACACATATATCTGAAAACCATCAGGATGTTTAATCCTTAAAATATGCAAACAACTGGGTGGTGATGTGATCTGAGCAGTTGACCATATGATAAAACTGCTGCCATCTGAATATATGTGCGATCAGTATTACTAGAACCAAGAAGGAACCCTTGCTTGGATGTTTACAATCTAATCAAAAGGTAAATTTTTCAAGCTTTTCTTGATTTTCAGGTCCTGCTTTTATAAACAAAGGTCTGGTGACTTTTTCCGGGTGTGTCAGAAATGACCTGATTAGTGAGATTAACTTTTGCTTTGAGCAAGCTGGCATGCTTGATGATTTTACAGTCGAAACTGTAGCAGCCGTTAATCTTTATGTCGTGGTAGTCACGGTCATTATCTGAAGACTTTTTTTTTGCCACTTTTTTGCTGCTTGACATTCCATCTTGCGTACGTGGAACAGGATTGAGAACCTGCTGGACGAAAATAAAAAAGTTATCATCCAAGGCCAAAAGGATTAAATTTGGCTTATTTTCAATTCATAATAAGATAGACAGCTGTGATTTCCTTGTATAACGACAAGGTTTTGGCAAATTTTTTGGCTAGAGGGGATAACTTTTTTTTTTTGTGTACTTTACAAGGGAAAATTCACAGCACTCATGAGTTTCAAATGTTTTAGTGAGCTAGCAGCACTGCTCAAACATTTGTGTAACAGCAGACATTTTAAACAGGCATACAACAGGACACACTTTTCGTATTTTCGTATTTAGTTGCTTTAAGTCATAAAAACAAACAAAAGAAAACATTATGACGTTGGTGAAGCAGAATTTTCTCTGACACGGTTACAAGGAGGGAAAGCCACAAAAGGTCATTACTAGAGAAGCTGGCTCTTCACAGAGGGCTTTATTTAGGCTTATTCATGGAAAAGTTGAGTGAGAGGAAAAAATGTGGGAGACAAAGTGCACAAGCAACATGGAAAACCATTGCCTTCCTAAAAGACATTTTTGTTTTAAACAGGGATGGTCTAAGGTATTTGCAAACTCTGCAACTTCTTGAAGTGCCCAGCAGACATGAAAGGAAATGTTAATAAATACAGAAGTTATACACACATGCAGGTGTATCTCAAAACATTTGAATATCATCAAAAAGTTAACTTATTTTAAGGACTTAATTAAAAAAGAAGTCAATCATTTATTTATTTATTTATTTATTTATTTGTTGTGGCTTTCAAGTAATAAAAGAAGTCCAATTTCAGTTTTCAAGAAAATATGAACTCTTATAACCTATAAAACACAGGTAACTCTTGTTGCCTGTGCACCTTTTTTTGCCACACTTTTTCCTTCCACTCAACTTATCGTTGTTATGCTCAAATACAACGTCACGTGATTCTTTCTGTTACAAATCATAATTCTGGCATTCAATTTCACCAGAAATTGATATTAAATTTATTCTAAATTAATCCGGAATTTATTCGGATTTTTGTGTTTTGTATTAAATGTGTACAATAGTCTTAAAATTAACAGCTTGTAATGTTATCACTCTATGTGTAATTAATACATTAGTCTCACTTTTTGAATTTAATTACTGAAATAAATTTAGTTGTTTTTGTTTCATTGGGATTCCAATTTAGTTATATGTGTTTATGACTAGTGCATATGTCAACATGGCTTCGGAGGACTTTGAACTGCTAGGCAGTCGCAAAGTTCGCATGTAACTAAGGCATCCTGTCCTCATTACTGTTTTATTTGCCTATGTGTAAAGACATTTGATAAAGGATAGAATTACTTTGAATTTTGCTGAAAAAAAGTTCGTTATTGTTTGACCCAAATAAGCAGTTCGGGTGCTCACGCGCTGTCAAAATAATGCCTCTCGATTGACAAAGGGGTGTATTAAATGACTCCCAGTGTATTTTCCACCTGTAATTGTGCTGCACGTTTCATAAATCCGATAATCCCATCAATATATCTGCATACTGGCAGTGTCGCGTCGTTTTGGGCCACTTTTCAGAGTCTCTCCAGCGGTATCAACAACTTTTCGCTGATGAGACAATAGCAGATAGTTCCATTTAATGCGGGAGCAGCCATCAAGCTCGTGCAAGGGGGCGTCAGGAAATCGTCAGAGTTCTCCCGCGAGCTCAAAACAGGCCGAATCTACAGTAGCGCGTGACGTCTTCTGACGTGCGGCGCTTTTTTACCGCGCGAGCGTAACACAACAGCCGATGTGAAAATGTAATGTGGAGAACCTTCCCTTCTCTTATTCTCCCCCCCACCCCCACGGGGACGGAATGGACTCGACCTACTCAATCATGCACTTCAGCATACACTGCAAAGAGCATGCTTTCACCTTTAGGATTGTCTCTGCTTCTTGAAGTCACCCTGGAATTCTCTCGTGAATAAAGCAGGTAAGACCGACCTTACTTTTTCCTCGTCTTTGATCCACGCACGGAGTTCAGTGAAGTGTTTTTTTTTCCCTTCCTTCCTCAATAGACTGTGTGTATGTGTGTGTGTGGAAGGCGACAGTTTGATCTTGATATATAAATAGGTTACAGCTAGAAGTGTTGTGGCTAATTAAAAAAATTATATATATATATAAGGGTATCTGTGTGTAGATTTTTTTTTCAAGTTTTATGCATGCTTTATTGACTTTCTTTTTAACTTCAATTTTAATGCTTAATAAATGAAATCAAGCTTTCTAAAGTCAGGATAAAGTTGGAATTGAAGCTTCTTTGAGAAACCTTGTGGTAAAGCAAACTTTCCACCAGCTCATGTTAGTGTTTTTTTTTTTTTTTTTTTGGAAAGCACTCTGTAATCCCCTCAAACACAGAGATGGCAGATATACCTACAGAGCTATAAATGGTGTACAAAAAAAGATAGGAATCACCCAAGAGGAGGAGAGAACTGTTCTTTTTTTATTTTTTTTTAAAGCGATTATTTTATTCACTCAGCAGCAGGCATACAGGGGGAGAGGTGGACGTGAGGGAGGGGTAAAGGAGGAGGGGTGTGGGGGGTATATCCATATTAGGAAGTCGTGTCCTACATAATAGACGTGGCATAACTGCCACTGAACGGGGCACAGGTGCCAGTAGTCGCTTTTCTTTGACTTGCCAATATGAGGATCTGAAACCGCTGGAAGCTCTTTGGTGTGTCGCATTTCTTCTTCTTTCAATCTCTGCGCTTGCACGCGGGTGAGTGCGTGCGTAGTCGTGCGCGTGCACGTCGAGATGTGATGGTGGTGGTGTTGAAGGTGGTGGAGGGAGGAGGTTGAGGGTGCGGGGGGTTGCGGAAACATGTGGAAGTGAGGGATGATCGTGTGCGCGTGCACGTGAGCTTGATGTTCTAACTTTTCCCCCTTATTGATAAATGATGATGATGGTGATGATAGCGCCCACGCGCAGGTTGGGGCGATCTGTGCGCGCGCGAATGTTTGCTAAGCGTTTCGATACACACAGACACACATACAGACATATATATATACACACACACACACACACACACACACACGCCTACAGGTGCGTGCATGTTTCTTTTTGTATGCACAAGTCCCGGTCACAGATGTTGTCGCCGTACCTATTTACCCAAAATTCAATTTCACGCGGTGTGGCGTGGATTGTTTTAAGCACGCAGGGAACAGGGGGATGGAGCGCGAGCTGCATGGGAGACAAATGTCCAGCGTCAAAACCTCTTCTTCTCTGGACACTTTATAATTACGCAGACGCGCACGCACACTCGCACGCGCCAGCTGATCCTCCTCTCGAGGAGGAAGCGCAGGAGACATGAGTGAAACAACAAAGAGAGATAGAGGAAGAGGACAGATAGAGAGGAACTCGCGTTGCTCCGAGCTGGGGGACTGCGTGGGGTGTGGTGACGAGGTCTAACACCAGGAGGACAAACTTTGTCTCCTTCTCTCTCGTTTTTTTTTCTCGCCCTCGGTCTTGTTCTCAGCGTTTCACACATACACACACTGGGCATATTTCCATTCGCGGTGGGTTCAGGTACTCCCTGAAACTTCACCATTCCATCGCTTCATCAGAAACAGAGCTATTTCAAGTTTTAGTTCCTTTCCATCCTTAGTTGGAGATAAATATACAACTGCTAGATTCGTTTGAGAAGTGAACAGATAAACGTTTTGTTGTGTCTGCCTGAACTAGAAAAGCATACATAGCGTGGTCTTATTTTTTTCAAAGGGAAACGTTTTTTTTGTTTGTTTGTTTTTTTACATATATGTTTTATAACAATTGGGGATTCTGGTTTAAATAAAGACTTAAAAAATAATTATTAATTCGCATAATATCCAACAGGTGTTTAACAAACACATTGTAGGCTTTTATTTTGTTTATTTCGTCGGTTTGTTTCTGAGCTACGACATTTCCGACTACCCCTGAAGGCAGCATGAGGGAAACGATAGGAGACGAGAAACACGCAGAGAGAAACAGAAAGAGGAGAGTGACAGAGAAGAACCTGTGCTCTTCTACAGCACCGGGAGATAGGAATTCACCAGAGATCACAATTTCTTGTCCCGATTTTTTTTTTTTTTCTTTTTTGACAAACTTAGTTCGGGTTTCCTCTCCTCTTTTTGTTGCTGTCAGTGTGCAAAATACAGTGGAGTCCCTATCTCTGTGTCTCTGTGTTCGTGTATCTCTACTGGATCTTCACTTCTGAAGCTGTGTACAGTTTTGGTTTTGGAGAACTGCACCGGTTTGTTTTTTCCTGCGAGGTTTTTTTGAGCCGAGTGCTGCTTTAACTGGTAAGGAAGTGGCTGTGTATGTATATTATTGCTGGCTGTTTTCAGGGTGGCGTTGTGCAACCTTTTGTGCAGAATGGATTCTTTTCACGAAGTTCAACATTTTCATAAAGTTAAGCAAACATGTATAGTAAAAAAAACAGAGAAAAATGAAATAAAAAAGTAGCAAAATTGTTAGGTGCTTTACTAGAGATAAAGGTTTTTCAAGGGAGTTTTTCACTGATAAGATTATTTTCTCCTTGTTTTAGTGGGAAAAAAGTCAGTAACCATAAATAGTTTTACCTTAGAGGGATGTCAAAGTATGAGTTTGTAATGTTATAAAGCAACAGAACACAGCTGTAAACATCTGGAGTCCTTAACTGATAATCATTGGAATGTGGTCATGGGCTGATATGAGGTTGTCATGATAAAAATAACACAGTAACATAATACTAAATGAGGAGTTGGGAGAAAAATAGCCAGTAAAACACAAAATGACACTTTAAGAAAAAAACAATCTTTTCAATGAACTAAATATAAAAGTGCTGAGAATTCCAGTGCTAAATTGACGCCGTCTCTTTAAGAGTGATAGGTGGTGCCATTTTTTTTTTCTCCCTCTGGAACAATGTACAAATTGAAGAATTTAAGGAAAAAAAAAATTGTCGAAGCCTCAGCCAGCTGACCGGCAGTGCCTAGCAACACGTGGGGGAGGGGCAGTGTAGTCTTCATCCATACTTCAAACTCGGCTCACTCTGACACATTCTGTTTTTTGTGGTTTGGATTTTTTTTCCCTTCTTCTTAAACCTCGGTACGTCCACGAATCAGTCCGTGCCAGTCTTAGGCCAGCTTGGGGAAGCTGTGTAAAAAGCTTTAAAATAAATTATTAATTAATCATTGCAGTGAGAAGGGGAGGGGAGGCAAAGGACTTGCGTTGCTATACGGCACATACAACCAGAGAAATCTGGTCGCTCCGCCACTTTTTCACTGGCATCTCGCTAAACGGAAAGGCACGGTTAAATAATCTTAGTAGGTTTAAAAAAAAAAGAAAAAAAACTTTGTAAAAACCTTGTCATACCAATAAACAGGGCACGAAGAAACAAAGAGGGTGAATTCACGACAAAAGTGACAAGAAACCAAGTAGAGCAAACAAAACGTACTTGTTGAGACATTGTGGGCATTGCCTTTGTAGAGTTCCTCCATTAGCAACTGGCTACAGTGTTTACCACAAGAGACAGCCAGCGGAGAAAGAACGCACAGAATATGTATGTGTGTGTGCCCGCAACTTCTTTTTTGCACTTTCACAAAAATAAAAACAAGGAAATGCCTTAACAGTCGGTACTGGGCTTTTAACTTCCAACAGTAGCCTATAGTAGCTGACTTTACACACACACACGCACGCACACACACGCACACACACACACACTCACATTCACACACCAACATACACAGCTCTAGAGCAGTGTGATAATAGGGCTGTGTGTTGGCCGTTTGTATTCCAGTTATTATCTGTCTCAAACTGACGGCGTGTGTGAGATCATCAGCTGCAACTTTTCACTACTTGATAGCGTTTTTCTCTTTTTTTCTTCCTCCTTTTGAGATTTACTTTATAAACAATACCGTCATGGATGCACCCAACCCAACATATTTTTTTCCCCCTTTGCTGTGATGTCACACTAACTCGTAGTTGGAAAGAGAAAGAAACAGATAGCAGAGGGAGGGAGGGAGGGAAGAAGGGAGAAGAGACGGCACGTTGTTTTGCAGACAGGATTACATTGTCTCCCCCCTTGTCAGTTTGCAGACATTATCTTAAATGTTTCTTCTTCAGTCTGACAAAGTGCTCACTCTGTGGTTTTGTACAGCATCTTCTAAGTGTAACATAACAAGCTTGTTCAAAAATAATCGTCAAGCTGGACAGAAGGGCTGATTGGATGCAAAGATGAAGTCGTTCAGTTGTGAATGTTTTGGGTAAGAGTGACAAAAGTTGGTTTTGAGTGATGTCTTTTTTTTCTGAAAAAGGTGAATGTGGACAATTTGTTACACTCTGACATGTTTCCCTTTTATGTTGATGAATTTGAGGCTGCCTTTATGCAAATAGGCCATGAGATAGAACGCACGTCTATGTAAAAATGTCGATATCTGATTATAATAATGTAATCCTCTTGGACTGCGGAAGTCCTTTGTGAAACCTGTTGATTTACTTCAAAGTTGTGATACCTGTTTATGTTACAGCCGCCACCTACTATTGCTCTCCATTGACACCACAAATTACACAAGTTGTTTTTTTTGTTGTTTTTTTTGGGTAAATGGAAACCCTTTGAGCCACTCGCTGGGTATTGTAAAGTGCAGCAAAAGAGGAACCTGACCTATGCGTAATAGTGTCTTGTTTTTCAGGTTTCCTAATCCAGATGTGATTCATGCTCCTGCTTTTGCACAGCATAAGATCAATAAGATGTAAAATTGAAAAAAAAAAATAAGAAGAGAAAAACGTACATGCTTCGAGTGCAGCGCACTTTCTTTTCTGCTTCTTTTCTCTCTATCTGGTCGCCTTCTGCCATTGTCTGTCTTTTCATACACTGGAGAACCGCTGCATACATTTGGGCTTTTGTCAATAGCAGTGTTTGTCTTCTGTGTGGTGCTTGTGTGCTTGTTTCTTCATCCACGTGCTTATCGTGATCAAACTTTCTACTCTAACACGACTCTTTATCTCCTCCAAAGATTTGCTTCACTTGCTTGCCTCTTTTTTTTCTGCTTCTTCTTTTTTTGTGTTCCCATACATGTGGGTGTAAAATTAGCAATTCCATTTTTTTTTTCTTTTCTCTTGTCCTTCCAGAATGTGGAAGTGTTTTCTTGGTGTGGTGAGAAACAATGAGGACAAGGCAGGGCTTTGTGGTGGCAGAAATGCATTTTTAACCCATGTGAATGAATGGTGCCTCACATTCCACAGCACCAGGCCCTCGACTGAATGGCAGCACTAACACGGCTGTTTTCATTACTCATTACTGCCCTGTGCCTTTTCACCATGGACTTAGTCATTTACCTTTACCTACTCATACCGGGATTTAGTGGTGTGCTGGTTTTTTCTTCTCCTTTGACTTGCGCTTTTATTATGTGTGAGCTGTTATTTCAGCAGCATTTCATGTTGCTCGTAAGCCCTTATTCGAGTTATCATCAACGAAAGGCTCAAATTACAGTGTGTAATGTAAAAAGCTTGTTATTACTTGTGATCGCCTAATATGTCCCACCCTAACATTTAGATTTCTGCTGTGTTGTGTTTCTGTTTTGGGGGTGGGGGGAAAAGCTTAAAGTAACACATTTTATTGCCTAAAAGTCAGTGCAACTCCTTGGTCAGCAATAACGTTCATCCATCAGTTTGTGCTCAGTCTCCATGGCAACCAGCTGTAACACCTCACTGGTAGTGAGAGTGTTTTCCACTGTCAGGAATAGGTGTGGGAGATATAAACTTGAAGTTTCATCGTGATATTTTGTGGTACAATTGTGGTAACAATAAAAATGACAATAAGAAATATTTATTAGTTCTCTTTTAGATATCTGTAGGACTGTGACTGCATGGCACAGCAACACACCCATATGAAATATGCGACTGTAGGACACCAGTCACTTAAAGAAGTGTGCTATGTATCACTAAGCTGCACATGCAATCTGCTTTTAATCATATTTTTAAATGTATTATTACTTACTATAGTACTGATTCTCTCATTGAACAAACAGTAAGACTAACAATCCCAAAAATACAGACAGTTTTGGGTGATTTAATCAGAATTTATCATGACGATAAATCAAAATTCTTATGATAAGAAATGTATCACGATAAATGATAAACAATACGATAAATGCCCAACCCTAGTCAGGAACATGTGGGTTTGTCGCAACTGATATTACAAAGTCTAACATGCTATGGGACTTACCTAGAGGCTAACGACAAGCTATCCCCTATCCTCCATGCAAAATCAGAGCCATTAAAAATAAAAATCTAAAAATAAACCCTTTATTGTACCACATGAATCCAAAGCCAAAGGTTTCCCTATTCTTGGTTTGTGACCATGAGCAGAGCCATTATTGTGCTTCAGTCTCATTGTACTCTTTGGACAGATGAAAAAAACCACAAACCTAGCATGGGGTGGATCTGAAAACAACTGAGTAAGGGTACAGTTTGATGTTTCTTTCCCTGTTTTTTTTTTTTTTTTTTGTTGTTGTTGTTTTTACTCTTGAACAGTATTAGTGGCCTTAGTGGAAATCCTTGGAGACTCGTTCATTTTCTTTGGAATATAAATGATTGGCTCTAAATCAAGTCCCTCCCTTCCAGTTTCCAATACTTTCAGTTTGTGCCCTTAAACAAATCATTTCCTATTTATGTACAGTACATAATAATTGGGTAATAGTCAATTTCTTTTGTTATTTAACTGTTTAATTGAATTCTGCAAATTACATGCTTGTTAAATGATAAAAATACATTTGTAGTGCAATATTTTCATTCGTCGTTTTCCTGAAAATTGTGGTTCTGCTTCTTCTCTGGGCCAGGCGGCACATAAGAGATTTTGACCCCTGATCAAACCAAAATAACTCTGAACAACCTACTGTTGGTATACGAAATGCATCAGACTCTCATCAGGATACTTTCTCAAAGTAAACTATGAGAATATATAGCAAGTTACTTATAAATCATCATCTGTCAAAGCAGGTGGAACACTTCCCCACAGATTGAGTCGAAGTACGAAGGGGATCCTTGCTGTACCCAAATCATGTTGGGTATAAAATAGACAAAACTTGAAAAGCATAAATGAGTAAGAGGAATTTCCTAAGAGATTCCAGAGCTGGCTAGTTTCATTGTAAACATTCAATTGCAAGAAGTTTTGACTTGATGGATGTGAGAAAAAGTCATCGAGTCACGTTATTCCCTACCAGGTACAGTCGATGTTGCTCTAGCATTCTCCCTCTTGTCTCTGCCTTGTTATGCTTGAGGTTGTATCAGTCCTTTCTGCCTGAACGCGAAAAGTGTATCTGCG